TCTCACCCTTTGAAATCTTGATAAGATATAGATATTACCCTTTTCCTTCTCCCTCTCCCCCCATGCGCACACTCTAAGGTCAAAGTAAGGGAAAATGCAAATTTATCACTTTTCAGTACTTCATCTGAAAAGAAATGTGATCTTAAAAATTACTGACAAGCATTAGGTGTAAGGCCTTCTGTCTAGGGATAACATATATATTCTAATATAATGTGTGTAAGAATACTAGTAATTTGAAAATGCTGTGATTACATGGAGAAATGGATTTAAGTTGATAATATTCCTTGGATGTGATAGTTGAAGACATCATTACATCTGATCTGTGTATAACTCTTATGTTAACCATTGCAAAATTTGAAAAGCTCTCTATATTTTTTTCCCTAGGTTAATCGTCTGTACCTTTAGTCTTTTCTGTACATCTTCCTTTGCCTAGTCATAGAGCCTATAAGAATGCAGAGCACTGTCTCAAAAAGAGTTTGAATCAACTTAAACAAAACAGGAATAACAAAAACGTTTTTGTATTCGCACATCTTTGTATGGATTTTGAATAAGCTTTATAAGTGTCCTCACCCCCCTGCCCCCCTGGCCAAATGAGCCATTCCAGCCCACAGTAGATGGCAGCTCAGCTCTGGCTTCAACCCCAAGCTCCGTACTGAGGTTGGAGCTGAGCAGCCACCTGACTCAGACTGGTACTTGAATCCAAGATGAGGCTTTTCTTTCCACACGTTGTTTGGGGGGGGACAGAGCCTCATCTTAGTTCCAAGTAATATGGTGTTTAGAAGAGCGTCCTTTTTTTGTTTATGAAAGCTGTTTTGATAAAGTCTGCATTTTAAGTCTGATCTGATCTCCCATTGTCACTAAAAGATTCACAGAGGTGTACACTATAATGTAAATAAAACTTCAATTCTTAGAAGCACAGTACAGAAAATGTGACATTGCTTATTTGAAACTGTTATGTACATGTCAATTTAGTGCATTCTGCAGTTGGTTCACAGTACTGAATATGCCATTCAGAGATGCTCAGATCCTTTCAGTGATTTTGATTTGGAGAATTCCTTGAGTTTGTAAATAAACTCAATGAACATTATAAAGTATCTGCAGATTTCAGAGTGGTTTACAAGAGATAGAGATGTTCATTCCCTTCTTACAGTGTGGGAAATCACTTCAATTCTCTACCCCTGTATCAAGCATAACAGCATTAGGAATAGAACCTGTAACTTGAGGATCAAATATTAGGCCAGTATCTTAGCCATAGGGCTGTACAGTCTCTAACAACGCATTTGTTTTCTCTAGAAGGTTGGTTAGTCTGATTTTTGTGAAAGGTGACACATGTAAGCTCTTGTTAAATTCACAGAGCAAGTACAGCAATGGTATCTCAAGCTCTTTTGCAGCCCAGTCTGTAAATTCATCTCACTTCTGGATGGAATACCAGAATCGGGTTAGGTAGGTGTTATCCACTGCAGAGTGTAGAGATCCCTCTACATCGGGGGAAAATTAATTTTGTCGTTAGTGTCGCTGCTTGGCTTTGTGCTGCTGAAATGGAGGGGCAGATTTCTTTTAAAATCTTTCAGTCTGACATTCAAATATACATTTATTTCAGTGGTTTCAAGGAGTCACTTTTCCCACCTTTTTAATGTTTCCCTTTAAAAATTTATTTTTTTATAAGCAGGGAAATTTATAGTGTATTATCATGTTTGATATTCCCTCCCCTGCTCCTTCCCACTTTTCATTTCCAGACTTCTGTTAATTGAAAGCCCCAAGTACACTTTAACTCATGTAAAATATTTGGGTTTGGAGGGTTTTGTTAGGGGTGGTAACTTGAATACAAGGTATTCCCAGTGGATATCAGTGAATTTGTCATCTGATTGTACACATCGCTGATATTGTCCAAGCGGCTCTCAGAGTCCTTTTAGAAAATGAAAGGTCTCAGATATTGTTGTAGTTTTTCATTAGGTGTCTAAATAACTATACAGGGATGTACTTAAGGGGGAGAAGTCAACATGTATCTGTCTAGACAGTGTAATTTGGGAGAAGCTTGTTTTGAAAATAAGTTCAGCTCTGTCCAGGGTGCTGAATAGTCTGTAGCTAATAGACATGTTTGTGAAATAAGAGAGACAAAGCTTGATGCACATTTGAAAGTGTGCGCTTTAAGGCAGTTTGCTTCACTTGGTATCTCTTGCCACCAAATGGTCAGTATTTTCATTGTGTTTCTATGGGTTTGGCTACAGTACATCCACTGTAAGAAGTATAATAATTAAACAAGATATAAGGGATGCAAACAGTATACATGAATAAAAATTCAGGTATCAGTGTCCCTTTTGGAGGGTTGTTTAACATACCTGACATTCTCTCATAAAATTTTACTAAACTTCCTAAACAAAAACACTGAAGCTGTTCTTTGCATTATTTTGGTTTTAGTATTGACCCTGAGGTGATGTCCTTGCATGACTCTCCTGGGTCGGGTATCTGTCACGTTATGTGGATGCTAGGAAACAAACTGAAGTTTAATCTCTTCAGATTTTTTTATTTTTTGACAAATCCAGTGGCTTCATTACTTGTTGGAAACTAAGATTTAATTATTACTTAATTAGATCAGATAAATAATTTCCTTTCTAACCAGTATAAATGTCAGTATTTAGTGACTAGTTGCATCCTATAATAATTATTTGTAACCAAAGTCTTATGCCCAGTTCCTGTTCCATCCTACTAGAGTCCCTGAAAAACCTCTCCAACACGTGCCTTTTGTAATAAGTCAGATCTATCCCTTGCAGGTTTTTTGTGACTTAGTCTCAAGGGTAACATGATGCCGTGTTACAGGTGCATTAATGGATGTTCAGGGACTTAAAAGGGTGGGATAGACTCACACATGGGCAGCTAATAGATGGACTAGAATCAGGCCCTTGGTTTTAGGACGGACAGCAATAAAGACTTGATTCTACTTTATGGTTGCCGTACTTCTTACTTGAGTTGAGCATATTAACATCTGTGTGGTTTGTTACTGTGAAATAATATTGACACTTAGTTTTGCAGGAGTGTAGAAAATTAGTCGTGGCATATTTATACTGCATCAGCAGCGCACTGAAAGTGGAGTGCCCTGCCCCATGTGGCAGCTGCAGTATCATTCCAGTAGCCATTTTTAAGCATGCCATTGACTGAGATGTTGAGCAGTCACAGAAAGATGTACAGTAGTGGCATTGCCAGCATGTTTCCAGGGTAGGGGGCATCAGTGAGCAGGGGCACTCCAGCCACAGTGTGGGCCCTGTGCGGTGTAGACGCACCTTTGGTGTTAGTTATATCAGGGGTGGTCAACATGTGCAGTTGTGGCACAGGTGGCACAGAAAACCCTTTGTGGCATGGCAGATTTGGCAGGGAAGAGGAAACGCATCAACAGATAGGGCAGGGAGCAGAAAGCAGAGCATCAGATAGGACAAGAAGCACAGGGGAAAGCAAGTGGAGTGGCAGATCTGGCAGTGAAGGAGGATCAGGGTGGCACTTGAGTAGGGGGCAGGGCTTAGCTATTGGCACACCTGCCAAAAAAGTTGGCCCCTACTAAGCAATGTGAGCAGATTAGGAAGTTTTAAGATGTTTGATTCCTCTTATTTGCATACATTTGTTCATTTGTGTTCCTTTGATTTCTTTATAACAAGGGACCTTGCAGTATTGGGTGCAGGATTAGTTTATATTGTCTGGATTGGAGTAGGAAGTGTGCTAATTGTCTGTGTACTGTTGAATGTAGGTTTTGCAGGTGGAACATATATTTTAGTTTGATACGTTCTCAGCTTAGCAATATAGGTAAATAAAAAAGGGAATATGCTTCATTGTAGTTTCTTCCTCTTGTGCAACCTATTAAGCAATGTGAGAATTATGATAGTGACTCATTTTTAAGGCCTGAAAACAGGGCTTAAGTTAAGTGAACCTTTTATTAGAGTATAGTACTAAACTGAGCATAAATTCCTTAATCTTTGGGTTCAAACTAAGAAGCCTATTATCACTATTTCAGTTATGTAGCACAGATATGGCCCTGAAAATATTTTTTTGAATTATTTTATGACCCTAATGCTAAGATCACATCTACACAGGAGACGCTCGTATGCCTATCAGGAATTTTATAGGATTCCGTATGTCCTCCCTGTAGGCAAAAGCATTTGCTCACTCATGTCTGATTTTAAGGTCAGAGTTATGTCTAGGATATGAAATTTACTGTCTTCTGCATAATCTCTTACCATAATTAAATAATTGGTATAGTTTTTTTGTGGTGGGCAGGAAGTAGAAACAAAGTTATGGGTTTGCAGGGTCTGTTTGTTACTTTAATCACGGTGTGTGTTTTTTAACATCAGGGGTTTTTTAGATTTGAGAGAGAGTTGTAGGTGTATTTTTTGCATTTGTTTTTAACCACCTGTACTATCAAAGCTTAACAATGATAGTGATCTTGGATAACAAGGTGGTAGTTTTTAAATGTTAATGTTTTGAAATGTCATGATCTTTTTTCTTTCTATTTTTTTCAGTAAGAACTTAGACATTATTTCACATGGATTTAAATCCTTTATGGAGCAAAAAATATTCAGTCAGTCTTGGTACAAATTATTCTACCTGTTTACTTCTGGATTGCTATTATTAAATACTTTATGAAGCAAATTAGTAATAGTCATTTAGAAGCCCAAGTACATATGTATTATATTTAGCTGAACTCAGGTTCTGGACTGTGAGATATGATGCCACATGGGAAAGTGTATGCATTTGTTACTACTCGAAGTATAACTTTAAATGCTTGTGTTCTGTGTCAGTCTAGAACCTTTTAAGTTTTTGTTTACATGGGGAAATTTACCAGCAGCATTATAGGCCTGTAATTATACTGGTATAATTATACAACTTCCTGATGCATATTCTTATTCAGCACTTAAGCATGCTTTTTTCTGATATAATCTGTCACTTCGAAATTTTCTAGTACAGACAAAACATACATTTCATGGCTAATTTCTTTTGTGTTCTGTTTTTCATAGCTGGAGATACAGATGATCCACCAAGAATTACCCAAAATCCTGTCATCAATGGGAATGTAGCGATGGCAGATGGACACAACAACACAGAAGAAGACATGGAGGATGGTAAGTAAATATATGATGAAAATATAGGTGGGGCCAGGGACTGACTTCTCTATTAGTATAGTGCGCAGCTTAAAAGGTTTTTGATTCTTTTGAGGTGCTATAGTGTAACTGATTATGAAACAAGCAAGAAAACAGAAAAAAATCCCACCTCTAGGTGCATCATTGCTAGTAAAGGGTCATTGCTGTCTAGTGCAGAAAATAACATTTTAAAGATCTATATAGCAATTTCTAGATTAGTTATTCTTAAAGAGGTTGGGCATCCAAAAAATTGTAAGCAGAAAAACTAGATATGTTGTGTATGGACAGTAAGATTTCATTGTAAATCTTTAAATGCAGTTATAATTACTGGTTTCTGAAAATCTGTTCAGATCCATTAGAACCACCATTGTGCTGCAGATGACTGCACCCGTCCTGCCTCTCCCCAGCACACTTCTGTCTGTTTTGCTAGATAATCAAGTAGCAGCCATAGCCAAGTTTTAATCTGGGTGCAGCACATGGTGGTGACCCCTCTTTTCGAAATGGAACTTTAAATGACCAACATGTGGGACCGACCTGAAGAGTACAGCTTGTCTCTTTCTTTTTTTCTGAGTCAACTTTAATGTTTACGTAAAATAGCTTTTGGGTATAGTCCTTTCTCTGAGCCTTGTCACTTAAATTGATGTACCTAACTGTTTATAAATATGCTTAGAAGTACAAGTATTCTAAATACTTTACAAAAAATAATCTGTATATCATCTATTATGGGGAACAGACAGACTCTTTAAAGGAGAAAAAAACATTCTTCTTTTTTTTCCCAAGAACTATATAGGAAAATGAGAGGATCAGAGGAAATAAATGAAGTTTCATTACAGTTAAACTCCAGAAAAAATGAACAGGGTTAGATTATCGCAGTCAATTATATAGGTAAAACTGAAACTTTCTCACTGATTTTTGTGAGACTCTGATCAAGAGAGCAATTAGGATAAGGCTGCAGGTCATAAGTATCTACCTCTGGGAGTTAAAAAAGTAATGTAACACTAAGGCATTAATTACTGGAGATGGGAGCGTTCAAGTGAGAAAAGATAATTAAATACAGGACAAAAAGATTATGGCCAGACTTCAAAAATGAGCACTGTCACTATGTCATAGCCAAAAAGATCAGGAGGAAAAATTGACGTCAAAAGGGTCAAAGTAGCAAAAGAGCAAAGTAAATGAAAGTGAGTCCTATATAACAGCAGCTTCAGAATTTTCTATGGAAGGCCTTACTTGTACTTAAAGGATTTGTATTAAAAGATAAAGCAGTGGTTTCCATTTTGATTAAGATTGTGGTATCTGTTGTCCTTGCTGCCTTTAATGATACCACAGCCATGACACAGAACTTTATGGTGACCAATCAAGATTATACCAGGTGGCATTGACATTACCATCCACCAGTTACAAGTGACTGACCTAGTAGTAAAATATCCAACAAAAAACCCTCATGTTTAGCCAAGTAGTATAAAAACTTCATCTAAAAATGTATCTACAAAGTGTGTGTGTGTAAATAAAAATAATACAGTCTTTTAAATAAACTGAGCAAAAACCAGTCAGGCTGCGTAAGAGGTAAGTTATATCAGAGCTAATAGAGAACACACACATTCAGATAAATATTTACTTCCTGTCTAGGCAGAGTAACTTTGACTCTGTATGAAAGTCAATACAGAATATCAAGTTAAGTGGAAATGACAACATTTTATATGGCCATGGGCCAACTTGCATAAAAAAGCCTCTTTGCAGAGGTCCCCAGCAAAAGCCTGCCATGTTTGTGCTGGAGCTAACCACTAAGATAACTCTTCCATGCTCTTCTATCAGGTTCACAGGTTTCAGAGGACATTGCTATAGTATAGAATTAGTTCATGTGATAGGATCTGGGACAAAAAATAGGGAATTAAGTTTTGGGGATGAGCAGTCTATCAGGCAATATATAATTAGTACAGAAATTCTTTGACATATTGGTTAATCGTTCCTTGTAATCATACCTGAGCAAGGAGTGCCTAGCTACATTGTGATGTTATGCTGCTTTTACTGTACACCAGAGATAGGACATTGCTGCAGTGCAAATGTTGCAATCCAGGAAACCTCTGAGCATTACCTTACCTAGGCAGATGATGCCTTCATAAAGGCCATTCAGTTGGGCAACCCACCAGATATTGCATTATTTGTTCTTCATTTGAAATTGCAGTTGTAGTGTTTATACTCTTGCTATCCCAATTTATATAATAACATGTATGTAAGGATTAGCCCAGTGATTGAAGTGTTAGTAATAAAGTGAGATCAGGGATAGCAGAAGGTAGAACATGTTTATCAAGGTGTCAGTGTTGATATTACCTGTAACCCATCTACTCTTAGCAGGCCTCTTTGCAACAACTAAGTTCAAGATAAGACTGTATCAGTGCATCTTGGAGGAAGAACAAGCATTACAGAGCAAAACAATTGCAGCTCATTTACAGAAGATTGCAAGCACCCTGTTAAGCTAGGAGAAAGCATTAATGTTGCTAGTAGGTTCATAGGCAGACAAGGTTCTTTGGGTGGATCTGATATCTTTTATTAGACCAACCTAAGTAGTTGGAGAACAATTATTAAGCAAGCTTTCCAGTTCAAAAACCCTTCGTCAGGCTAAGGAAGTTTCAGCAGTTGGTGTGTGCTCTTCCTGGATGGAATGAAAAGTAAAGAAGCCAGCGGCTGGGCTGGTTATGCATTCCAGAAATGCAGTTGGTCTGAAAGATATCAGATTCACCCGAAGAACCTTGTCTGCCTATGTCCTTATATCAACACGGCTACAACCTGCACCCCTGTAACACGCTAGTAGGTTCATGCACTTGTAGCAGATAGGGTGGAAATAAGGGGCCACAAAATTACACCAGACCTAATATCATATTTTCTCACATGCAATATCAGCAAAATAGGCATCTTGTTTTTGAAAGGCAAAAGGAAAGAAAAATTCCTTGAGAGCCTCTTCTAATGTGTGTGTGCTTGGAGGGGAAGGAGGCAGCATCCAACAGCCAGCAACTAGGGAGTTTTGCATGCAGCATGCAGAGTTTTACTTTCACTTTTCTTTGGTAGAGCCTGATGTGGCAGAAATTGCAGTTACCTATTTCCTCAATTATAATGTGCACACCAATTACCAACCGCTGAATTTTTGGGGAACAGTGTAAGTTTGATATAAGAAAATATTGTATATCATGCTACTGTGTGAATTGCTAAAAAATTTATAAGGGTAGAATACTCAATGGCAGGAAGACAAAGTTTTTTTGGGTAAATCCAATATCTTTTATTAGATGAATTAAAATAGTTGAAAAAAATGCTTCTTTGCAAGTTTTCGGGTACAAACACCTTTTGTCAGGCTGAGGAAGCATCTGCAGCTCGTCTGTGCTCTTCCTGAATGGAATACAAAAGAAGCCAGTATGCATGCAAGAAAGTCAGTCAGTGAAAATGCAAACTGAGACAGCCATTGGGTAAGAGACAGGTGGGATGAGAAGGAAGGGGAATGGCAGAAAAGCACAATGTGTAGTGACTTGTTCCATGGAAGTTCATTGGCAGTGGATCTGAAAATAAGTTGCTAGATGTTGACTTTTTTCTTGATGTTGGTACAATATGGCCCTTCTGGTCAGAGTAACAAAAAGATGCCTCCTTCATCAGGTTCCGTAGAACAGAGATACTTCTGTCATTGGGAGATTAAATTGTTTGCTATGGTATGCTAAAGGTGAAAGCATTGGCCTATTTGTTTTAGCAGACTGATTTGTGGAGATGTGTTTATACTTTCAAGACATTGGGAAGAGAAGCATCTATTTTCAAAGGAGTATTCATGTACAGGGACAGTGGTGTAAAGAGAGAAGTAAAGAGAGGTAGTTAGCCATGTTAGTCTGAAGTCAGATAGAAGACAGGATAGATATGCACCCTCTAGACTTACTAACCAAGAGAGGGGGAGAGAAAGAGAGCACATGAGTGCACATGCTTTAATGGTCTCCATTCGCAAAAGCATCTCATGAAGTCACAAAACTTTGTGCTCCACATCTATATTTATAATTTATTTAGTCTACAAGGTGCAGCAGAAGTGGTCCATCCAGGAAAATGAACCTAAGTAGGAACTGGTCAGAAAAATAAATGCTCTGAGTTTGGAAGTGAGCAGAGCTAAAAATACACGCATTTTTATATATTGTTAATCTCTGCAGTTGAAAGGAACTGTTTAAATAATGTCTCTGGGGTGTATTATAAACATGACTTTTGTAGGGGAACAAAAGTTGACTTCAAGTGAAATGTATACTCCGCTGTAGGAAAGGAGGTAATCAAGTTCAAAGAATCAGGGATTTTGCATGTTCTGAAATGGTACCTGAGGCATTTCACTAAGGTTAATTTTTTGCAAGGTGGAAGTGACAGCTTCAGTAAACATCCTCTATCATGAGTGGTTTTTTGTTTTAAATCAGTTCATTCTCATGTAAAAGATTCCACGTGACAATTAGATTAACCAGTTCCCTCACAAGTAAGAGATTTAAACTGAAGGCTCTTTAATTAAAAACTTGAACGATTATGGTATTTACAGTATTAAAAGTATCCATTGAAGCTCTGTTCCTAATAGTCATTTGAAGCAGAGGATTTCAGAAACAGGAATCTTAATTGTGGAGTATTATACCCCTCATTTGACACCAGTGGAGTTCATTTGAAAGTCCATTCTTTCATGGAATATAATTGGTTTTAACCATTTCTTGCCATTAATCATACAGCTGAAAAAGTACTTTAACATAAACTGAATAATGCACGGAGAACTGTCAAGTTTTTCTTCAAAAGAAAAATTTGTTTTCTACCAAATTGTAAACACTTAAAAGATATGTTTCTTGATAGTAAAATGGCTCATGTGCTATTCCTAGGTCATAAGTTTAGAGGATTTTTGTTCTGTTGACCAGTTAAATGGGTTTTGGCTATATTAACATATCCTTGTAGCTTCCACCACCAAACTACCAGAATGTATACATATCCATGCACCCTTGGTGGCCCTGTGTGTAGATGTGGCCGGGCACCATTGGTGCCTGCCACTTTAAGGGCTGAGCCAAACAGCCAGTAGGTGCTTGATTACAGCAGCCAGTCTGGAACTCTGGCCACCTATATAAACAGAGGGGTTTGCTGCTGGCAGGCCAGGCAAAAACAGGTGGGTGGGCCACCGGCCCTGAGAGAGTCCCCCTGTTACATCAGACTAGACCTAAGGCTAGATTTTCTCTCTCATGGAAAATAGGATCATACCACTATTTTGGATTGCTGGTTTTTAGGAAGTATTTAGATAAACATATACAACACTAGCATACCTAAACAAATGGGAAGGCAAGGAGAAGTCAAGTAATCTTAGTCTGATATTTGTTAATTAATCATATGTAGCTGAAACTCCAGAAGTGGAGTGATTACATTAAAAAAAAATAATTATAGTCAGGTTGGAAGAGAAAAACAATAGTCAGTAATCCCAGCTAATATGGACCAAAAACTGTTTGTAAAATCAAATAGTTTGCTACATAAATATACACTTAAATGTATGTATATCTATTGCATATATATTATTTTTTCAAGTTGATCATTGTATCAGGTTTTTTTTCAAAATCATATGCCTTACATGTCCTTACTCTAAATTCTACTGCACACACTGATGGCATGTTCTGCATTTGGGTAGTTTTTGGTCTTTGGAGCACTCCAACCAGCAAGTGTACAAATGTATAAGGTCAAAGAAGCACTTCAAAAATGGCCAAAAAGCTTCAAAATTCATCCTCAAAAGATGAAAAATATCTTTGAAGCCTTTGAAATATCTGCGCTCCAACAGAGTGCACGGGGTGGCTCAGTCTTCTGGCATCTCGCATTGCTCCACCCTAAACTCCTGCCCAATTCCTGCTTCTGCAGGTTGAGAGGCATGCAAGGAACAAATGCCCTCTCACTGGAGAGAAGAATTTCTTGAGATATTCAACTAATACTTCAGACTTATTTAATCATTCTTCATCTTCTAATAGATTATTTTAAAAGATAAACTTTCCAATCTAATACATTTTAATTGGGTTAAATGTTTGGTGTAGCACAAAAAATGTGTGCAACTGTACATTCTGTGATTTAAAGACAGAATAGTGCAGTGCCTTGGAGTACTCCTTTTTAAGACTTGTGACCAGGTTTTAGTTCCTTGTACCACCATAAACCATATACATGTGACTTTGAGGAAGGCACTTGATTGCTGCCTCCTTCACTAAAATGGATATTACCTTATGAAATTGAAAGAATATGTTTGGTTTTGTATCTTCTGCATACGGTACTAGGTGCTTCATATAATAAAGAATATATGTAGGTACCTCACTGTGTACTCTTGGCAGTAAAGGATTCCATTCTCCTACCCGCTGTTCCCAACCAAGGCTGCCACAACCTTCAGCATCCCTGTTGACACCTGCCATACAAATGTGTGAGAGCAACAGTGATCCTGGTTTTCTCTAATAAAAAATAGCAAATTCTCTGATGTAACCCCCCCCATCTGCGTTTTTTCCATGATGAAAATGAAACACCACTGTGTATGGATATCAGTTGAACACTGTGTTTTATTGAGATATTTACAATTTTAAAGCAGTTTGGAAGCCTGCCAGTACCTCTATCACTATAATAAAATAAATTGTAAATATTCTTTTTGGCATTTGATTTTGGGTTTTTATCATGGAAAATCAGAGCTCCCCCTACCCCCTTTGCTTACCAGGACACAGGTCCAGCTGCAGTTGTGCCACCCCACTCTGCTTTGGGTGCTCAGCAGCCCTCATATGCCAGTATCCTGCCTGATATTGTCCCTCACTCCCAAGCGACATCCCCCCACCTCCCCAGCCCTGCCAGAGGGGGCCTCCAGCTGCCAGGGCTAAGGGACCCAGATCTCAGGTCTGCAACCCCCTGCCCTCCACAGCAGCACGCAAGCCCCGGATGCCATCCATGGGAGGCAGCAAATGCTGCAGCGGAGCAGAGCAATGAGTCTTGCTCCCTCCCCCCACAGGCAGCATGGCTGGAGCAGAGCCCATGGGAGCGTGATTGCAGGCTGCCTGCTGTGTGCTTGAGGCTCCCTGCCCTGCTGCCCTCCCCTGGGGCTTCTGCAGCCCAACAGGCAGGACCTGGCATGGTAGGACAAAGCAGGGCTGAGTGGGGAAGCTCAGTGCCGCCACCACAAGCCCCATGTTGCTATGGTGAGGCACTCTCTGTCCACCCAGCAGCATTGAAGGGTACCTCTCCACACTACCATCCCCGGTACTGCTGGGAGGGCAGAGGGTGCTTTGCTATGGTGGTACTAGGCTTCCCTGCCCTGCTTTGACCTGCTGCACCAAGTCCTGCTCTCTGGGCCACAGAGACCCCAGGGGGAGGGCAGCAAGGTAGGGAGCCCCCGAGTCTGCAGCCCACATTTGCCCCATGCACAAGCTGTGGCAGGGCACATGCCATGGGATACCCCTGGGAATGCACACAGCGGCAGGGAGTCTTCCCCTCCCCTGCTGCCCTCTAGACAAGCTGCTCGCTGTTCCCTTCTGCTCCCTGCATGAGCCTTGCAGCCACACATTGGAATCCTGGGCCCCAAGCCCTATGCACCAGCCCAGCTGGGCAGCATCCCCAGCCCTGCCCAATTTCCTCCCTCACTATAGGACCTCAATCCTTTTCCCACCCCCTCCTCAATTTTACCTGCAGGAGCAACTCTCCAGGCTCCCTGGCAGCCATGTGCATGTGTATGTACGCACATGCACATAGCACCCCCTGCCTTGATATTCCTCCTTCCAGTCCCTGGTAGGTTGGAACTTTGCCAGTCTATAAGGGGAAACCCACTGTTTCCCATGTTTTTTTCCTTAAAATGAGAAAATCCAAGTTTTACTGCATTTTTCTGTAATTGATACAATGTTACAAGTTTGTGTTGAAGTTGTCTTAGTTTTTCCAGTGAATCTTCCCACAGGATTTAATTCTAGACTGTCACAGAATTTGTAGGTCCTTGATCTTATAAATTATGCAGTCAACTAACAAGGATTAAAAAAGAAATAGTTGCTGCTTTCACTTTTTTAGTGGGGCGGTGGCTATTGGGGCAATACAAAGTAGCTAAATGGTGACTCATTAAAACTTGATGACGTAAATAGATTCTTGGTACTCTTATGTCCTTATTTCTCTGCCTCTCACTGTTGGGAGTGGAGTCTCTGCTGAAACAGAAATCTGTTTCTATATAGAAGTTTCAGGGACAAAGAGCTGGAGTTGATAGTAATCTAAATTGCATGGAAATTGACATATATAGGACCCTTTGTTATGCTGTTGCTTACCTTTGGAGAAGACTTTGAAATATGATTTGTAATACATTTTAGAGGTTAAACATAATTTAAGAGTAGATTGGATTGGAGGATGCATTCTTCTAGAAATGCTCTTCCGTCTTTTTTATGACAATTGAATGTATACTGTAATGTCACTTCAGCTGGAACTGACATTCTAAGAAACTTTTCATAGTAGGATAGTTACTGGAAAACAGTACTAATTATTTCTGATTCATGAGAAAAATTTTAACTCGGGTACCAGTAAGTTCTTCCAGTAGTTGAGTGTTTGTGATGGTTTTTATGCCTTACTGTTTTGCAAAACTTTTATTTTCAGGTAGCACGTGTTCCCCAGTTTTGAAAAGGTATGTTTTGCAATTAAAAGTGTCTTCAGAATTTGAAGTTACTGTTTTGATCATTTTTCTTTTTTTGCTTAGACACAAGTTGGCGATCAGAAGCAACGTTTCAGTTTACAGTTGAACGTTTCAATAGACTGAGTGAGTCAGTCCTCAGTCCTCCCTGCTTTGTACGAAACTTACCATGGAAGATCATGGTGATGCCACGTCTTTATCCTGACAGACCACACCAAAAAAGTGTAGGATTCTTTCTTCAATGCAATGCTGAATCTGATTCCACGTAAGATGCTTTAAATAATTGATATGCAAACCCAGATATGACATTTGTTTAATTGTATTGCAAAACAAACTAATAGTTGATTAAAATTACTTGGCGGAGTTCTTGTCTTGAGGGGCAGGGCTTATTCTGTTTTTAGTTTCTGAAGAGTTCTCTACTTTTCATCTACTACTTGCTCCCCACCCCCGCTCCAAAGTCATGTTGTAAGACTTGTCCTTTGAGGCGATTTGTTCAACTTGAAGCTTCTGATGGAACTAAAACATGATTCTCTTGGACTGGTGAGAGCGATGCGAGAGAGACTTTTAAGAGAGCATCACACTCTGTCAACAGCATTGCCAGCCTTGCTGTCATGGGAAAGGAAGATCTGTGCTTACTTGTGTTAAAATGCTACTAGACATCCCTCTAATCCACTTGAGTCATTAATTCTGCCCTATAATGCAGCAGTTTCTAAATAAAGTAGGCAAAAAAAACCCCTTTCTTGCCAGTATAGCCTAAGGTAGTGACTTCTGTCCCCTCCGTGGCCCAGCTGGATCAGAAAGAAATTTTCACTATTTGCAGGTTATTTCATAATAGTTTATATAAGGTGATTTCCTTCATCTTTCTCTGAGGCATAAAGTACGGATAAATATCAGTCGTAGGTTGTTGACGTAGAAGGATTATTGATTTGGTCCAGCATGTTGTTTGCCTGACAGAAAACAACTGCGCTGGAAAACGTAGTCCTTCATTGCCACCCTCTGTCTGAGTTGAGGGAAAGGAGGAATCATATAAGAAAACCTGCCAAGAAAAAATGAAATGTTTCATGAGAAGGACAATCCAACATCTCCAGAGTAGGCAGCACAAGTATGCATTGCTAATCATTAGGCACTCATAGAGAGATTTTGGGGGCTGATACCGATGGCCGATTTTTTTTTTAAACGAGCCATGTTGACCGATACTTATCCAATTCTGATATGCAGCCCCACAGCATGGAGAGCGGTGTGGAGCTGGCAAGCCTGTTGTGGGGGAAGGGTGTGGGGGGGCAGATCGAGGCCTTCACGGGCAGGGGCTGCCCAGCTGGGGCAGGGCAGGGTGTGGGACAGAGCCACTGCTCATCCAGAGGGTACTGGGGGGCCAGCTTCCACTGCTGGGAGTGCTGCTGCTGCGGACTGGGGCCGGGGCTGCTCCAGGCTCTTCCCGGTGAGGGGCTGGGCTGAGCTGCGCTTTGGGAGCGCAACAGTGGCACTGGGAGGGGGCTAGGGCAAATTTTGGGGTGGCTGCAGCCCCCTTCCCAGCACCACCACTGTCCACCCTGAGGCTAGCCCAGCCCTAGCCAGCAGTGGTAACCCGCCCCACCAGATGCACAAATCTGGGGGCACATGGCCCTCCATGCTGTCCTGGGGTGAACTTCAGGTGGGAATGCCCCCCCACTCCCTCTGGACAAGCCGTGACTCTATCCCGTTCCCCGCCCTGCCCCGGCTGTGCAGAGCCTGCCCTACTCCCTCCCTCCCTCACCGCAGGGGCCTTCATCTGGCCCCCATCCCTTCCCCCACAGCAGACTTACCAACCAGACCCAGCTGCTTTCCATGCTGCCGGGCTGCACTCCTGGCTGCCTGCTGCTGCGCTGCAGCTTTTATCGGCCACATTATCAGCTACATCAGACAAAAAAAAGCCAGTTGCCGATACTCTCAGTTTTCTTCATATTGGTGCCAATCCGATATGGGACCAGTCTATCGGTTCACCTCTACTAATCATCAAACCCATAAAGCCAGTGTATGGCATTTCTAGGGGAAGGACTCCTTAGCAATAAGCTATCTTCTGATGCTGTACAGAGAGCAGTTTGCAGCAGCTCACTTCCCCATAGCCAACTCAATTACTGCTTCAGGGACGAGCTACAGTGCTTAGCCAGTACCTATGTCTGTGAGGGTGTTAATGTAGGACCCTGCCCCTTCTGTTTTCCAGACCAGAGATACATAGCAGCAGTCTAGGGAGCCATTACAGCACAGTGTCTGCTTGATTCTATTCCAGTGAAGAAAACTCAGTTTCCTCACTTAGGATATGAACCCCAGTTTTGCAGGGCTTATTTTGAGGAAGTGTGCATTAACCTTTTCCAGCCCAAGGCACATTTACATTACTAAATTTCTGCAGCACACCTGTTAAGGCATTCCCCATCCTCATACCTATTGTAGCTCATTCCGCAGCACACCTATTCATTTCTGACAGCACACTTCTGTGCCGCTGCACACTGGTTGGGAAACGCTGGTATAGTGATGGCAGTGGCTCCTACTTTGTTTTGGAAGTAGAGTATTGGCTGTTGACTGGGAGTAAATCATTTGGAAATGACTGGTTGAGAGAGACTTGAGAGCATTAGTCACTCGCAGGTTGTGATCTTTGGAAGCATCAGACAAGATATTTCCAGTAGGATGGTATTAGTGCTAGTGTAAAAGGTACTAGTGAAAACTTGCTGTGTTCAGTTCTGAACACCGTGCTAAAGAAAGATGAAATGAAAATGGAACAGGTTAGAGAAGGACTACCAGGGGACCAAGGAGTGTCTTACAGGTAGAGATTAAAGGGGATTAGCTTGCTTGGCCTAGAAGAATGATAGCTGAGAGGGATATGAATGCTTTCTGTAAACGCATCAGGAGGCAAACATTAGGCGGGGAGGGGAACACTTCATGCTAAATAACACCACTACCACAAAAACAAATGGATGTAAACTGGCCATAAATAAATTTAAATTTAAGCTGGAAATTGGAAGAATGCTTTTAATTGTTGGGATGGAGTGAGGTTTAGGAACAGCCTCCCAAAAAGTGGAGGTGGGAGGGTGGGCCCTGACTAGTTTTAAGGTGGAGCTGAATTAGTTTATGCAAGGAATTTTATAGTATGTTTTCATGCAATACAAGGGACTGGAGTTGGCAAGTTAGGAGGTCCCTTTCCAGACTGATGTTCCTAATTTCTACATGCATTATACATTTCTACAGTTCAAGTAGAAGTGCTGTCTGTGTATGAATACTAAGCCCCAGTGGCTGCTTACAGAAGTGAAAAAAACCCGACGTTTTGTTTTCAGGTGGGCATGTCCGAGCACAGTGCATGTCCAGAAGAGGTGTTGCTTTAGTTTGACCCAGTTCACCCAGCATCTGTATACATCGGGAGCTTCAGTGGGGCTTTTGGTGCTGTAATTAGCTGATTGACTCAGCTTTAAATGAAAGTGCCAAAAAGCCCTGCTGAACTGCCCGATGTATGCAGATGCTGAGGAGCCAGGTCAGGCTATAACATGCTTTCTCTTCTTGTAAAACAGTGGGGTTTTGTGGGGGGTTTTTTTTGTCTGTCAGTGCCCAGTGATATCCGATAAACTTCAGGAGGCCACCTTATTATATTGTTGCCTGCTATTTCCTAGTTCTTGTAACATACCCTTTTATAAAATAGTTCCAACCCATTTAATTTAAAAGTAAAAACAAAATAAGATGCTGGGAAGAATATTTTATAGAGAGCGCTTTTAGAAAGTAATGTTATCTAAAACTTCATTTTTGAGAAATACTTGGTCTAATGAGCATCAGTATGTATGGTGTGACTCCTAAAGGCCAGAGATTAATTCTTACTAATGCTTCTAATAGCAGCTAAGCAAACTATAAAAATCTAATGAGGAACAAAACATGTAGTCATCTCTATGCAAGTGCAGATTTAGTATGTAAAATAAACTTTGCACAAATATTTTCTGTGACTGAAGAAACCTGGGTTGAAATTCATTTCAAATGTTTGTTTTTCTAGGTCATGGTCTTGTCATGCGCAAGCAGTTCTCAAGATAATAAATTACAAGGACGATGAAAAATCATTCAGTCGCCGAATTAGTCACTTATTCTTTCATAAGGAGAATGACTGGGGCTTTTCCAACTTCATGGCATGGAGTGTAAGTGACGGTATAATGGGCATATAATAATGGACTGTTATTGGGGAGAGAGAATGGTTCTGGTCCTGGACATGCAGTTGGTCTTTTAAACCAAAAACAGCTTTTCTAATTAATTTTTTTGCTACAAGAGGTAGTCTAGCATGTGAATGATGCTTGGGTTGAAGATGTCTTTGAGTACTGCTGACTTGCTTTACACTATTAGTGAAGATTCCTTTTAGTTTTTTTACCTGATATATAGTGACTTCAGTATTTTTGTCCTTCCTTCCTTCCCTTTTTTTTTTATCTGCCTGTAGTGGTGTTTGCATAAACGAGACTAATTTTTACCAAGTTTCTTTCAGCTCTGCTAAAAGAAGTTTTGTTTTGGCTTGTTTGCATTTGTGTACAGACACTATTTAGTACATAAGTAATACTCTCAATGTTTGTCTTAAATTAAGACAGCTGTTAGGGAAGTTTTGGCCCTTTCTCAGCTGGCCAAAATAGTTTCATAAATGATCCACCATGAATAGAAGCAAAGCTTTGATTACCAACCTTTTTATCCACTTACATAGAACTGCTGTTGCAAAACCATAAAAGTTGGAAAAAGTTTGCTAGATTAAGATATTAAAAAGTATTTAAATACACAAAGCTCAATGTCAGAGGTTAATTGTGTCCTTCAATGGCTGCTCCAGCTTGCTGGAAAAAATAATTTTATGGGTGATTTTTTTTAAACTTGGAAAATCTGAGCATTGTCGAGACTGAATTTTTCACTACATTCTTCATATTTTGATTCAGAAGTTAGTTTGGAAGTAGATTTAACATTCTTGTATCATTCCTGTTATACAGGAAGTTACTGATCCTGAAAAAGGATTTATAGAAGATGACAAGGTTACTTTTGAAGTCTATGTTCAAGCAGATGCTCCCCATGGAGTGGCGTAAGTATCTCTAGCAGTTGTCTCTGGAGCAGAAATGCTTAGTAAAAAAAACTTGACAGAAAATTCAGTCTTTAAATTTTTCATTTCAGTAAAAGTGTTGTGTAGTTTTAAGAATATTATTTAAATAGCACAGTTCCTCAGAGGTTCTTAAAGTACTTTGCTGTTGTTAACTTCCAGATTTAACAAAAGTCTGTTTTTCTGTTATTGCATAGAAATTTATTTTGTGAGTCTTAAGTGTTCATCTGTGTTCAGTTTAACCTTGTGTAACTTTATTTGGAACAAGGCACTTCGAAATCTATGAATAGATATACAATTTGTTTTATAAAAAGCTGCAAGTTTTGTAGTTGTGGGGTCAATGTTCCTAATGCTGCTGTTGATACCAGGCAATATAATTGCCACCATTAGGTGGCTCTGATACCTAGTTTCAGTTCAGCTTTATTATTTGTTATAACTACCTCATTAAGCAAGTTAGATGTCTTTCTATTGGATGTTATTTTTGCAGATTTAAATTAAAAAATGTAATTTTAACTACAAGTTATAGTTTTTTGCTGAAATGCTTCTTTGCCCTGTGAGGATTTAGATACTCTTTAACCAAAGAATTGAAAGTATACATTCATTCTTTAGTTTATAAGTGTTCTGAAATGCTAAACGTGTTTGTCGTGACTGGCAGGTAGATGTGCTATGCAATCTTTATTCAGGCAGGTTGTAATACTAAGGAACGGAATTTCTTAGTGGAATTACTTAATCTAGAGCAAATATCCTAGAGCAGAGATTTTTTTCAGCACTTTAGATTAGGGCAGGGGCAGGCAATTATTTTGAACCGAGGGCCACTTATCCAGTTTTGGCAAGCTGTCAAGGTCCGCATGGGTAGCCCTGCCCTTTGACAGGTGCCCCACCCTCTGGTCACTATCTTGGAACCAGTGTCCCAGGGCCAGCACTGGTGGGGCCCAGAGCGAGGCTTAGGCTGGCAGGGGTCTGTGGAGCCGGGCTGGGCTGCACCAGCAGGGAGAGGGGGGAGCTGGCCCGGCTCCACAGAGCCCCTGCCAGCTGGGACCCTGTACTCCTGCTGCCCTGCTCTGGGCCCCACTGGTAGTAGCCCTGGGACACTGATGTGGGCTCCGTGCTCCTGCTGGCTCCCTACCTGCTCACACCCAGTGCCCCCCAGCCCCGTGGTACAGGTGGTGGGCAGCGTGTAGCCCCAACCCTGTGCTCACCAGCAAGGAAGGGGCTGGTGCAGAGCACGGGGAAAAGCGGCCCCTCACCTGCCCAATGGCCCATGCTCCCTGCTGAAGCCACTCGCAGCCTGCGCGGGGCTGTCCTGAAGTCCCACATGGGCTGTGAGCGGCTGCAATGTAGAGTGCCAGCCATGGAGCAGGCAAGGAGCTGCTTTTTCCCCCCTGCGCATAGTACCAGCGTGTAACCCACCCCTGCTGCCAGCCTGGGCCCTGCACCGGCTCTAGGCTCACCTGTCAGGGCTGCAGCAGCAGCAGCTGCAGCCCCGCCCCCACTTGCCGCACTGGGCAGTGTTTGCCACCGCTGCGTTTGGGTTGCCCAGTGCTCGAGCTCCGGGTGGGCAGCAGCAACAGCAAACACTGCCAGCGGGGCAAGCGGGGAGGTGCTTTCCTCTGTGCTGAGCAGCTGCTGCTGCCGTAGTACAGCCTTGACAGGCGAGCCCAAAGCCTCGCGGGCCCCAGACTAGCAGCGGGGGGTGGGTTACAAACTTGTGCTGAGCGCAGGGGCGGGGAAGAGTGGCCCCTCCCCTGCTCTGTAACTGTCGCCCCACGCTGCAGCCCCTCGCAACCCGCATGGGGCTGCCTGTGCCTGCTCAAGGCAGCCCTGTGCGGGCTGCGAGCAGCTGCATCAGGGAGTGTGGGCCATGGGGCAGTCAAGGGGCCGCTCTTTCCTGGGCTCCTCCTTCCCCTCCCCTCCCCCTCCCCCCTTGCACCTGAGGTTCTGGCACTGGGGCAGCCACGTGGTCCCAGGCCAGAAGCCCTGCCTGGGGGGGCCGGGCCAGGCAGGCCCTGCTGGGCTTTCCCTGGGTCCTACTGCCCCTGCTTCCTGTTATTTTTGACAGGACCCAAGGACAGATCAATATTAATTTTCTAAATTTTTTAGGAGAATGGCCTCATGGGCCAGATATTTTGCCCACCCCTGGATTAGGGGAATGCTTTAATGGAAGTTGTCTCTGAGCTTAGCCCACTTTCAACTTGGCTCACTCTGCAACAGCTGCTGTCATGGTCCCCTCCTCCACAAATGCTAATGTGTGTAGGTGGAGTCCCCTGTCACTGAAGCTCTGCAGGCTGGATAAAAGTGGCTCTGTGGGCTGGATCTGGGCCATGGGCCATAGATTACTGATGCCTGTATTATAGTTAAATTTATTCATGTCCAACTTAAAGTTTTCACTGCTAACTGCTTTGTAGGTGGGATTCCAAGAAGCACACAGGATATGTTGGGTTGAAGAACCAGGGGGCAACCTGTTACATGAACAGCTTGTTACAGACTTTATTTTTCACAAATCAACTACGAAAGGTAATTAAATACCATTAGCATGTTATTACCATCAAGTGTTATTTTTTTAAAAGCTGTCCATCTCACCTTTCTTCAAACCCATTCTTTGTTTGTTCCTTTCAGAGGAATCTTCTACATCCTGGTGGAATAATGTAAAACTTCAGAGTACATGACCCTAATTTGCTCACTACTTTTTCAAAGGGTTCCTTGCTGTCTGTTGGTTTCTTTCTCTAGCTGAAAAAATAAATGGCTCCATGGAGTTAGGTAGTAAAGGTGATGAAGACATCAGTGTAATTAGTATATCATATTATCTTACATACAACATTCCCTGAAAAAAGAGATCCACCTTGTTTTGAAAGGGTGAATGAAGGAAAAAAAGATCTTTCCTTCTAACAAATAGCTGAGTGCAGCAGCTAGGGAGCTGAGCCTTATCATTGTTCTGCTACCTGTGAGACCTGTGCATACTTTGGTTTTGCCCAGTGAGTGACAGAAACTTCTCTTACCGTATTTCTTCATATAAAGAAAAAAACTCCAATTTCCAGCAACTGTTTTTTGGAAAAAAGGTGTGTGGTATAAGCAAGAAAATACGTTGTAATATCTAATAAAGTGTTGTCTGATTTAATTTCAGGGGGAGGAAGAATCCACTTTTTAGCAGGGTTGCATAGTTTGTCTTTATATTATCTACCAGGACAGGCCCAAGAACTTGTCTTGATAGGTTTTCTGGATGTGGGTAAGCCAAATAGCTGTTGTACCTTTCTGAGTGAGCGAAAGAGATCTTTGCTGCACTGCCTCATGCTGGTAGTGAGACCATGAATTATTGCAGTTGTTAACATGACTCTTTGCAGGTAAAGGAAATAGTTTTATTTAGCTGTGACTTTGGCTTTCTGGAAAACATGTAATCAGTTTTACTTCAAGTTATGTTAGGGGTTTTTTGTCTAACCTAAACTTCCCTTGCTGCAACTTTGAAACCATTGCTCCTTGTTCTGTGATCTGCCACCCCTGAGAACAGTCTAGCTCCATCCTCTTTGGAGTTACCATTCAGATAGTTGAAGGCTGCTATTAAATCTCCTCCTCAGTCTTCTCTTCTGGAGGCTAAATAAGCTCGGTACCCTCGGCCGCTCCTCAGAAGTCATGTGCACCAGGCCTTGAACCATTTTCATTGCCTTCCACTGGATTCTCTTCAATTCATCCACATCCTTTCTGTAGTGGGGGACATTGTGCGCCAAGCTGATAATTCTTTGAGCCATATTTTATATATATATATATATATATATAGTCTCCTACCTGTGTGTTTTATAATAGTTGCATCCAATCCAAATGCCTCATTTTTTCAAATGTCAAGTAGAAAGATGTAAAAATCTAGGCTTACCATTCCATTGTTTACTATTTCAAGTAAATTGGAAAGAAACATTCTTGAGTGTACTTCTTTTTAACTGATCCATGTTGTAAATGTGTAACATGTCTTACAAAGATACTCTCATGGACCCAGAGGAACACACTTCCACCTTCTACTTCCTCTGTGCAACAATGAAGTTTATTTTCAACCTACAGGGACTTTTTACCATCTTTAACTTTTCCTGAGGAAGGGTGTGTGCACCCAAAAGCTTGCAGAAAAAGATCATTTTTTTGCGATTTCTTAGTTGGTCTAATAAAAGGTCATCTCTGAACCAAGACTTCTGGAGTTTTGCATAACATTTGTTTTAGGCTTATTCTAGGCAGGTAAGCATCTCAACTGCTTTTTTTAAGTTTAGTTATTGGCCATGTAATAAAGCTGTATTTGCTCATTTATAATTGTAGCACTCTTTACTTTATTCAAAATAGGCGTGTTTGTCCTGTACCAGTAATCCTTGTCTTCCTGTTATCTGGAAGATTCACAAAGATGATTATAAATGGTTCAGATTAGTTTCTTCTGGTCAGTTTTAAAAATTCATTTGCCTCTAGTGTTCAGGAAAAATTCTTAGTCTGGAGATCTAACCAAGCAGTTTGTAAAGAATTCATTTTAGAAGCAAATTTGTAACCTGAATGGAAACCAATGTAGTATAATCCTCAATCTGCAGGCTGTGGCTCAATTGCTTCTGCTGCTGCTTGATTTCTAAGAACATGATGCAGCTGACAGAGCTCTAATCAGTTTTATTGCTGCTATAAAGAACCCTGTGAACAGAGATGAAATTGTCAGGAATCGTCCAGCTGGAAAAGCCAATGTACAGTAACAAAAGCAGGCACAAAAACTTACCCTAAAATGGAGTCAGGGAGAGGGTTAATGGAAGAAAGGTATTGTTCTCCACTTCTCCCCCTTTTCTTTCCCAGCAGTAGTAGTCAAGAGCCTCCAGAACAGTGTTTCTCAGGTTATTTTAGACTCGAGGCACCCCTAACAAACTTCTAGCTCTTACTAGTTGCTCTATTTTGACTACAGAGAATGATAATAAAGTAGTTCTTCTGATGCATTTAACTCAAAGACAACAACAGGTCAGAAAGTTTTGATATCATGGATTCTGATCTGAAATGTCTGGGTTTATCTTGTGAACCATGTTTGCACATCTAACAGTGATCATGTTGTGTGGCATCCTGCTGTGGCACCCTGGTTGAAAATCACTGCTCTAGAATGTGTAGACACTGTCCTTTTCTGCCACCAGAAACCTGAGAATCTTGTGGGTGACAGCACTTTCTTTCAGAAGCTGGACAAGGAAACAACTTAATCTTGCATATCGCCCTATGATTGATAATATATACAGAAATGTGCACAGAAACAGAGGGTTTTATCCTTGGACTTTATAGATTTCATAGACATTGGGGCTGGAAGGGACCTTGGAAGATCGAGTCCAGCCTCCTGCCGGCACTTCTGGTGACGGAAAAGGATAGTGTCTATACATTCTAGAGCAGTGATTAGTAGTTTAATTAAGCTATTAATTAAACTTTAGTAGAGGAGTGTCCCCCTTCACTTGCCCCTAGGTATTGGGTAATAACCTGCCCCTTAGAAGTATTTGCCAACTTTTTTTTAAGTCCTCAGATAGTTCACTTGGACACTTTCAAGCATAATTTGGGACCAGAGCAAATGCAATTTTAGCATAGGTTATTTAGGTATTCCTCAGTCCCATTCCCTTCAGACCTGACTCCGTTCAAACCCCTTCCTTACATTGTCATCATCCAGTGTGTTCTGATACTTGATAATTACTTTGCTTTGAGATTTCACAACAAAGTAATATTTTTCCACCCTCTTGGCATAGTATTTTTTTTTCTATTCATTAAGCAATGGATTTAAACTTACTGTTAACATTCTGTTATTTCTTACATATTATACTTGTTGCTTTTCTTCTTTTTATCTGTTGTTCATTGTATCTAATGTCTCTTCCGTTCAGACATTGCCCCTACATGTCATTGCTATTCTCTTGCATTCATCCCTACAGGGGAGCCTCTTAGGCACTAAAGTAGAGATTTTGCTTTCTGTCAAATATATCAAGATGTCTTATTCCTTTATGTTGAGGCCAAGTCTTTCAAAGTTTTGGAGGGATTGTAGGCAGATAGTAACATTGCTTATAAGGGATAATATTTTAAAGATTGTTTGTTCTAGACTGGAAATCCAGCTTGAGCTTTGAGTAATAGTCTAATTTGCCCTAAATTACAAAAGCAAAAAGCAAAAGCAAAGTTAAAAGTTAAATTAAATACCACTTTGATAACATAAATATGAAACATTTAAGATTTAAAGAAGTAAAGTCTTGCTTCTCTTTGATTGTCCAAACAAATATAAATTGGCAGAAACAGGAATAAAGGAGGTAGGAAACCATTCCCATTAAATTCTTCATATTTATATATGCAAATATCCCATTAAATTCTTTGTATTTATATATGCAAATTACTCTTTCCAAAAGTGGTATTTTGATGAAATAAAATGCCACTTAAGTAGAATTAGGAGATATCTGTCTGTGTTAAATTTGCTAAAAAAAACGTTCACATGGATATCTTTATTTTAGTTGAGCATCGATAGATACCGGTTCCCCTCTTACACTTATTTTGTCTGTCTGCTGTATGATAGTTAATGTATTAAAGCATCAAGGATCACTGCTGAAATATTTTGAGCCTGAAAGATGTGAAATTCAAGCACGTGGAACTGTTTCTTATACTACCTTTGGCTAGAGAAGATTAGCTCAGAATAATGGGATATAAATCACTAGTTCTATTGACTGAACCTGCAAGGTGCAGAGCCATCTCTGGTTCTAAAGTTTTGAAGTGAAAAATAATTCCTGCACATTAGAATAGGCAGAGAATTGTGGTAATAGACTCAAATTGGAAATTGGCCAGGATAGCAGGGTTAATGCTTCTAAAAGCTGTAGCTTGGGTAATGAGGGTAGAGAACCACTGCAGAGACCCTTCATTGGCCGCTGTCTGGAATGATTTTGAAAGGCACTAGTCTGGTAAGTATTATAAACTGAAGAGAGATTGTTGCAGAAAATTTTAGCTCATTTTACATGAGCATTATTGATCTTTAGTTTGCTAGTTCTAATTATGAACTTGAAGCAAAGCTAGTCGAGGTTTTTATAACTAATTAAGCTGTTGAATTGGTGGAAGTCACTGCATGCAAGATTTCTTGAAATTCTGTCTTTTTTATTTAAATACATTTAGTTTCTCTTAGACGAAGGATACACACAAACAAATTCTTCAAACGTTTATAATCAGATTATAAACATGGCGCTCAATTAAATAGAAATATTGAAGTTTGGAGAATGGCAGCATTTGGCCTTCTGTCCAAGCTTCAGCATCTTTTTACAATTTTTTATATTTCATGTTAAATCACATAAGTTAGAGCAGCCAGGCAACATTTTGCTTCTGTATCTGTACTTTTCATCTTCTCATAAATTGTCTGGATAGATAAGGTTTGTGTTTTCTTTGGAAAACTGTTCCACAAAGCAATAGAACAAGTATACCAGAATTTAACACTTTTCCTTTATTGTCATCCAGTTACTCTAGTTACTCCCACAGGGATTCATAGACGTTAGGGTCAGAAGCAACCTCAGTAGGTCATTGAATCCAACCCCCTACCTTGGGCAGGAAAGAGCACTGGGGTCAGACAACCCCAGCTAGGTACTTGTCCAGTTTCCTCTTGAAGACCCCCAAGGTAGGGCAGAGCACCACCTCTCTTGGAAGCCCATTCCAGATTCTGGCAATCCTTGCTGTGAAGAAGTTCTTTCTAATGTCCAACCTAAATCTGCTTTCTGTCAATTTGTGGCCATTGTTCGTAGTTACTCCAGGGTGCGCTCTAGTAAACAGAGCATCTCCTATTCCCTGCTGTGCTCCCCTGATGAATTTATAGGCAGCCACAAGATCACCTCTCAGCCTTCTCTTGCAAAGCCTGAAGAGATCTAGGTCCCTCAGTTTCTCCTTGTAGGGCTTTGCCTGCAGGCCTCTGACAGTACAAGTGGCCTCCTCTGAACCCTCTCAAGATTCTCTGCATCTCTCTTGAAGTGTGGTGCCCAAAACTGGATACAGTACTCCAGCTGCAGTCTGCCCAGTGCTGCATAGAGGGGGAGCATCACCTCCCTGGCCATGTTTGTCACGCATCTGCTAATGCATGATAAAGTGTGGTTAACCTGTTGATCACTTTGTCATATTGGCGACTCATGTACATCTTGGAGTCAACTATGATTCTAAGATCCCTTTCCTCTGCTGAGAAGGTCATTCCCTAGGCTGTAAGTGTGTTGATGATTCTTTTGCCCAGGTGCAGCACTTTGCACTTGTTTTTGTTGAACTGCATCCTGTTTCATTCAGCCCATTTTTTCTAACCTGTCCAGATCCATTCCTTACCCACTGGTGTGTTAAATTTTCCCCGTAATTTGGCGTCATCTGTAAACTTGGACCGTGGAATCATCTACATCACAGCAGCCTGTCAGTTTATTTAGGAGAACACAGTATTGTTACTCTTGTAGTGTGTAATATTTTTTTTTACCGTTCTAGGCATTTACATTCTTTGTTTATTTGATGACTGCTTTTAATCTCCTTCCTTTTGGGTGTTATGTATTTAGATCTTTTAATGTCCCAAATTGGTCCCTCAGTTTACTAATGATTTTTGTTCTTTTTCCAGACTCCCTCCCCTTTTTGTATTGGCTAATCCTAATCAATTTTGTCCCTCTGATCTAGCTGTTGTTGCCACTGCCTGAGCACTTCACAAATGTTAATGAATTGTCCCTCCCAATGCGGTGTCACACCTTAGAAGTGTGAGCTTCATTTTACACACTAGGAATTTGAGGCACAGGGTAGTTTAGTTTAAAATCACTGACAAAATCTGTGACTGGGTCAGGAAATAAACTAGATCAGTGGGGCTCAACCTTTTTAGAGCAGCTGGCCAAGTGCTTGCCATCCAGCTGCAAGATGAAGCACCAGTCCTCTTCCATATATGTGGGGGGAGACGGAAGGGGCTGCCAGTGTCAGAGGGAGGGAAGGGAAGAGGAAAACAGCTGACCTCTGGTAAACAGTACTTGCCAGAGAAGAGAGAGAGAGAAAGCAAGCAGTGCTTGCTGGAGGGGAGGGAAAAGGGAGAGAGCAGGCAGTGTTGCAAAGAGGATCTGTGAAGGGTGCAGGGCAGGGAATGGACGTGCTGTGCTGAGCTGCTCGCCACTAATCCCCTGTGTTGTGGGCCAGATCCAGTCCCTTTAGTGGCTGGATCCAGCCCACAGGCTGTAGGCTGAGCACCACTGATTTTTCCACCCCCAAATAAAGGTAGTCTGTTGCCTGCCTGCTTTTTGAATCAGTGTTTCTTCCTACTCTGCCCAAAACTATATTAACCTCTTTATGACCCTATCCTGTGATAAGGTATTGTCTAATTTGCTTTCTATTGCACCTTTTTTCTTAACATTAATGCATTCTAAATGTATGTCTCTAGATATCTATACTTTACAGTTATTTTTCTAAGGTGTTTCTCATTTTAATGCCTGCTCATACTAAATCCCTTTGGTTCTCTAGTATAATTTCTTCAGGGTTCTCAGGGCTTCCCAACTTGGTATAATCAGTGAATTCAGTTAGCATGCCGCTTACTTCTCCTTTAAGCTCATTAATGAAGATGTTAAATGAGTCTAGCACCAATCCCTGAAGCTGCATTTGACATGCCCCTCTATACACAAGCGTACTCTGTGCACAATTGTTTATTGCTCTTTGTGCCATAACATGGTTTTAATCTATGTGACTTGTTCATATAAAGCCAAAATAAAGTTGTTCTCGAATAGGCCATAGTGTTGTTCAAACCATCAATCCTACTGTGTTAATTGCATAGATATACATCCCATGATTGTTCAAAGGTATTGAACTCTTCAGTCTATTTGTTTTTTGTGAAAATTATTAGTAAAAATTATTAGTAGAGTTAGTGGGTTTTTTTTAAAAAAATTCTACGTTGTTCTGGAGAACCAAAGCTACAGGTAGGTAGTGGTCCTTACAATAAACAGCAGGTTATTTTGGAGAGCTATTTTATTATAAAGCAAATCTGTGAGCAGGATGAAGTGTTTATTGTTCATTTAATTCTGTGCATTTTCGTAAGTACTAATTGAGCTAAATGCTTTTGTAGGCTGTTTACATGATGCCCACAGAAGGCGATGACTCATCCAAAAGTGTTCCTTTAGCATTGCAAAGAGTGTTCTATGAACTTCAGCACAGTGACAAACCAGTAGGAACTAAAAAGCTAACAAAGTCCTTTGGGTATGTATCAGAAATTTTAAAATACGTTGCAGGACTCTTCAGAAAAGTTCTGTATCATAATGTTTAAAGAAGTGCTTTATTTAAATGTAAGGAAAACTTCTTGTTAGAAAAATAGAAGTTTCCATTGTTATGATTCTGTTATGAATGGTCTTTTTTATCGTATTTCTTTTGACTATAACTGAATATAATTCAGTAATGAGGTCAGCTGACTCATAAATTGAATGGGAGGTTATTTTAATGAAACCATTGGCCACATACAATAAGAGAGATCTGAACTTTAAATTTATGTTGTAATTGTATGATTTGTTTAGTTAAACAATACTGAGATGTGGTTGTACCTTTAAATATTTGAAAGGTGCATACAAAAATTAAATGATACCATTTTAATCTTGTTACATAAAACTGAAAGAAATAGTAATCTAACTTTCTGTATCTTTATTTGCTATGCAGTGATGGCCATTGTAAAACATTTTAATTGTGGCCAAGATTAGATTTTTAACATGTGGATCATATCTGCACTACCAGCATCTAACATGCCTTTTTGCCCCTGTTTTTATCTGTATTCCTTCTTTCTAGTTACTGTTCTTTTCCTTTACAAAAACCATGACA